TATCTATGCATTTTGTTTCCAACCTATCGAGTCGTTATTGATTGCTCAGGAACATGCCCTTTGAAGTCTGTATCTTCTTCTAGGACACCCATCCAGGATACCAAAACTGAATCTCTGTAATGGCCTGTGGGAGTGAACTTGGGAGACAGAGGGAAGAGCCGCAGACTAGGCAACGGTCAGATAAGCAGCAGCTGAGCCCACCGGAGGAATGGGGGCATGGCAAGCAACTCAGAAGGGATTCTCCCTAGTTTCTTGGACTACAAAGGCGAGGAGGGAGAGATGTAGTTTCAGTCTTGCAAGATTCTGTTAATGTAACCTTACAATAAAGTAGAGTTAGTATTTTGGGGGCGCTCCTTGCCTGGACGATCTCACAAGGCTGACAATCTCTGACATATTTATGTTACATTGCAATGTAACATCAACCAAAACTCACATTCAGCCTCATCCTGAGTCAAGTAGGATCAGCATTATCTAATGTGGGCTGTCCAAAGTTCAGGGAGAGAGATTTTGGAGCCCTGCCAGGAGATAAAAAAATACACTGAATTTGCAAACTTCTCTATGATTGATCCACGGCCACCTTCTCCATCCAAGGCAATGGAGGGAAATTGATCAGGGGCCAGTTCAAGGCTCCCTTCATCCCTGCTTGCACTAAATCTGAACCCAAAGTTACTCGTTTAGAATTGTTGACTTGGAGCTTCAATCAGGATGCACACTTTGCCAGTTATATTTGTCCCTAAGATGCAGTTTCCTGCTTTTGTATCTTCTTTCTAAATCCAACACCCATCCCACCCTGACAGGCGAGGATCAAATGCTTCTCATTTCAAACCAGTCAGCAGCTGGGGAACATAGCTTATAGGTGGACTACCTTTATGGAATGCAGGTGGGGCACATAAAAAAAAAGAAGCAGCAGCAAAGCATCCATCACACCATCACTACTGCCATCTTGAGTTTTTTAATCATATCCTGTGGACACTGCTGGTGGAACGCAAAGGATTCCGTTCCCAGCATCTCATGAGAGGAAGGACCCAGCACATTTTAGACCAGGGCGTTGAGCCAATCCAACTCCTATGGCTTGTTTATGGATCAGTAGCTCATGCAAACCCAGCAGATAGGATTGGTTCAGTCAGAAGGTGGTGAACACACTGGCCCACCATTTCAGCACTATTACCAAGAACCCTGCATGGACATGTTCTACGGTTATAACCTTGACTTGAAGAAGATGTCATGCCTTATGCCTTACATTCAGGCTGTGTTACGAATGCTTCTTTCTCCGTGATCCCCTTTCCCAACCAGATCATCTGAGCAAGTGGTGGGGGAGAGCCCAACCTTGCTGTAGTCTCATTTCATGGTAACTGGGGGGGTCAAGCCTTCTCTGCAGCCCTCCCCCCACCCCCATCCCCCAGTTCTCTGGAATGCTCTCTGCTTTGAAAGGACTAATCTCTTCATGGGCTTTTGAAACAGCCCTTAAAAATGGCTTTGTAAGTAATAGGCTTTTAATTGTCAGTTTCCATTATTGTTTTGTTTTTTTGGGGGGGGAGAATCTCTGTGGTTTTCATTAACATTTTAGATCTTCTTGAAACCTGCCAGGAGACTGTAGTATTTGGCACTAAAAAGAATAAATTAATCATGATTAAGTAGGCATGTCATGCCAATCCATCAAGCCTAGATAGTGATGAACCAGGTGGGCAGGCAATCGGAACTGGCATGAGATAGCTTTCTGGGTCATCACAGGCAAAAAGGGGTCAAAAAACATTCTTTCTACCCGAACTGGATGTAGGCGATTTCCAGAAGCATCTTGGAAGTTCAACCACATTGCCTAAGACCATAACGGGGTTTGATTGGTTCATGCTTGAAAACACAGACTTCCCCCACCACCCAACCGTCCAAGTGCTGGGAGACATTTTAGAGCCCAGCAAGGCCGCAATATTTTTCTTTCCTGGGCATTTATCTTTAGCTGTCGAGATATACAACCATGAGCAACAGACCCGCAGCGTGAGCTTGTTGCACCAGTGGGGAAGTGTGATCATTTTCCTCTCCTGCGATTAGTTATTTGTTGCAGTTGATGCTTTGGGGTATTTGTGATGCCAATGGTCGCAGTGGGTTTCAACTCCAGGGTGTTCCAGATTCTGCACCTTGCACATAACAACCTATGATCCACCTCCCAGGACTTCATAACTCATATGTCCAGCCAAATCAAAGACTGCTTCTCATCTTTGCTCCCTGTGCGAGCTGATCTGAACATAGGCCCTGGTGTCTTTCAGGCAGTTATGCCACATTTCATTTACTTGAGCTGTTCCGATCCTTCCTATATTGTTTTAATATGATGGGAGGGGTCTTCCTCTTTCCATCATTTCATATTTGTTACACTTTAAAAAGGGGATGGGACAATGACATGCCTCGAGCTTTAGCTCCCTGCCAAAGTTCACTGTCTGTATACTTCTAGCAATCTCTCGTTTGGTTGCACACTTGAACGCTTATTCCTAGATGACAAGACTTTTACTGTGGCTGACAATGGCTTCTTTTGATGGAAGGTTGTTGAACATTTCACACTAATGGTTGCACTGGAGTGGTAATTAAAGTCCTACATTTATGTGTTAAGCCAATGTTTCTCAACCTTGGTGACTTTAAGATGATGGACTTCAACTTCCAGAATTCTGGGAGTTGAAGTCCACTCATCTTAAAGTCACCAAGGTTGAGAAACACTGTGCTAGGCTTTTGGGTCTGCCATTAAATGTTCTGGAAGTGGTTTCATGAGCTTAGCTATCTCTATCATGCCAAGAAAAAGTAGACTTCCTTTTGGTCTGTGCTTCCCGCCCCTTTAAAAAAAATCATTGTGGTTCTTCCCTAACCTTCATTCCTAGGTTTTGTTAATTTGTAAGGAATTAGCTAAGAAACAGCTTTGTGAGTCTTTTCACAACAAAGGTTGGGTTAGAATTTTGTATTACAGAATGGAAGGGCAGCACAGAGAATGCAAAATCTAACTACAGCTTTGGAAGAACATGTGGTAATATGTGCAGGGACCCACAATGTGCAGTTTTGGATTGCAAGCACAAAGGTGTTTATCTCCTTGTTTTGTTTTGTTATATTTATACCCCAGCCTTGGTGTTTCCAAGTAAATGTTCTCAGGTTGTGCGGTTTGGAACTAAACTAACATGGCAAAACAAAATGACGCAGGGTTTGGAGTGAAACTAAAATGATGAGTTAATGACAAAAGGATGGGCACACGTCCTCCTTCACAACTGAGTATTTGAGCATTGTTACAATGTTACAAAAGGATCCAACCAAGGTTGTCTTCAGATATGGTCCAAAAGTCAAGAAGGCAGCCACAGTGGTGCAACTGAAACTCTTCCTGTGTTTTGTATGCATCGCATCATCATGGCATCATCTTCACTTTTGGACCACATCCTGCAGACACCCCTGGATTCAGCTATAGCAATGATTCAAGAAACAATGTTGTACCTCAGTTTCCATAGTCTAAGTTATCAGAGCCTCTTCGGAATGACTAAGTTAATAGAACCTTTCTTGTGCAAAAAAGCTTAAGAGCGTAGATTCTTAGCAACCTTACGCCTGCCACATGGGGGAATTGATCAGATCATCTTTTACTTTGTTGAATAGAGGAGCCTGTGGATGTGATAATTAAAAAATGGTTCCTGTTGCACCTTGTGATCTGCATGCCTGTTTCCCAAAAGTGAGCCCCAAAGGAAAAGTTGTATGTTCGGTAACTCTCTCACTTAGCCAGCATTTCCCAGAATAATGCTTTAAAATATATGACCCCAATATTCCAACATAGTGAAACAGATGGCGACGGGTGATGTGAAACAGAAGCTGCAAGTAAGACTGGTGTAAGTATGTAGGAGTAAAGGACTGTGCCCTTTGTGTTCTCCTCTCGCTCCTTCATCAGATCCACTGATTATTATTACTGATTATGAATCAGAGTTAATCCACTGCATTTTTCTTTTCCTTCTGCCAATGTTCTCCCTTCCCTCTTCTCCCCCGACTCCCACGACCCTCCCCTGATCATGACAGACTTGATTTTCTTCTCTAGATTTTTCTTTGTTTTCTTTTTCTTTGTTTTACCCTTTCGTTCTAACTTAAGTTCATTTTGTTATGTGGTAACCGCAGTTATGGATGACGCCTCTCCTGGCAGACAGGAATATATTATGTTACGGCAAGATTCCATGCAATCTACGGAACTAAAGAAAAGACAGTCCCCTTTCCGAACTAAATGCCATGAAATCTTCTGTTGTCCTCTGAAGCAAGTCCACCTCAAAGAGAATACAGAACCCGAAGGTTTGTGCTCCATAGATCTTTCTTTGCTTTTACCCCGTTGATTTTTCTCCTCCTCCTTTGATTCTTTCTCCCTCTTCTTTTCATTTCTTCTTTTCTTTTTTTCTGGAAAGAATATAACTGGCCTGTTGAGTCTCTTATGTTCACTTCTGGCCTGCATCTAATGCCACAGGATGTGAGAAGCTGCCTAGAGTTTGTATCCACTCTTGTTTTTTGCTTGCTTGTAAATGTTTGATAGAGCCTGTAAATGCAGTAAGCCCCCATTACAGAAAAATGGGGACTTTATAACTGTAAATAAGCTGTTTGTCCCCTTCAAGCCATTGGAAAAGGCCTATCCATTCATGTCATTCTATTTGCCTTCTGGCTGCCAAAATTTGCTTGCTTTTCTAGAAGAGTGTCTTAAAGAGTTTCCTGTTTCTTGCCGGCCCCAACCCCTTCATCAATCCACAGAGTTATCTTGATTCTTTTAACGTTGCCCTGAGCTGGGGAGAATGATTGCACTGTCCTTGAAACTGAACTCTCGGGCCCTTTTCCACTTCATGAAAGCTTCCTTTGTGCATTGCTTTTCCCTGGCCTCCCCGAAATCGCTTATACAAGCTGTAGTTTGGCAAAGCAGGATACAATTTTCTGCATGCCCCGTTGCATTTTGGAAAGTCTATTGCATGTCATAGAGCAAAACTGGAATGTTTCTCTCCTCTTTGTTTAATTTATTCTCCCAAGACGATATCAGGTATCGTTTGATGGTTGATGACTTGCTTGTTTATTACTTGTTAAGAGCAAACTTTGGTCTGATTTGCCTGTTGGGTTGGTATATGAGATTAAACCATCTTTCCTTTTTTTTATTGTTGGTTTGGGACAGCTGAATTCTTGGTATTTCTATAATGTTTTCTCTTATATGTTTTCCATTACTGCCTCAATTCTATCTGGTAAGACTTTGCACGTTTTACACCAGCTTCCATATATGGTTATTTAGCAAATGAATTCTTTTTGGGCTTGTCTACCTAAGCGGATTCCTCAGATGATTCAGATTTAGGGTTGGATGGTTTGGGCTGGTGATGAAGGTGTGACCAAGTGTGGTTCCCTATGGGTTAGGGTTAGGGTTAGTGCACCACTCAGATCCATTCAAGCTATCTACTTAAAGTTGCAATATCTCTGTTCCTTCCCGAGCAAACATACAGGCCTTGATCTATGCTAATCTATGCTTGATCATTATATTCCTCTGTTAGATCATGCTTAAATGTAACTAACGTGGTCTGGGTCCAACCAAGGGCACTACACGTAGATGTAATGACTTATAGTTCATTCCACAAAGTATTCAAGCCTTTGGCCTTTCTTTCCATCATTTAGTTCTCATACATTTAGTTCCATCACCAAACAGGTCCATGAAATCTGAACAGTGACCTGATGATGATGTATCTGGATGAAGAAGGCATTTGTCCATTCTTCTGGATGGCTGACTGCAGTAAAAAGTTTCAAGCCACTTTCAGATGGACAAATATTTCTTACTTGGCTCTTACATATGTGAGTGTTCTCCCAAAGCATAGATCTTTGCTCTGTTGACTATGACAATAATACCCTCTGTAATAACTTTCTTCTTCACTTGAGCCTTAGTCTCCAGGTATGTTAAATCACAACTCCCATCATCACAGCCAGCATGTTGGTTGAGGGTGATGGGATTTTGGACCCAATACACAAGGCTGACTGACAGCATTAGGAGAGGAACTGGTATGAACAAGGATATAGTAGCTACACATATTCTTTCAACTGATATCCAGGTAAAAAAAAGGAACTTCATTGAAGTTTGACTCCTTGTAATTAAGGTATGAACAAAACAGTTCCTGAAGCTGTAAACTGTTCTGTCTTTTATGTACAACTTTCATTTGGAATGCATAATTTCCACCCTGTATCGTTGTGCCATCTGGTGCCAAGTAAAAAATCTTCCAAGGCTAACTTCACACTGCTACAGGTTGCAGCCCCATTAGTGGTTACAAAGGCTGGATATTATTTTTGTGAAGTTTCAGCTGTTTAGTGCTTTGCTGGAGTTGATTTGGGACTTGCTAAAATTGTCTATTGGGTTGCTCCATTGGATTTTGTTGAAGCCAGAGGCGTATATTTGGGTGTCTGTTGGAGCTGAATTTCTGACAATAGCTTCTTTTTTCATGCACATTCTGTCCAGCAAGGCTGTCCTCTTGGATTTGATTTTTCTGCCTGATATACAAGACAAGATTGTTTGTGTTGCAAATGTGCCCTCACAGATGAGAAATTTCCTTTACTGGGAAGCAAAAGGATTTTAATATAGACTTGCCCAAGTGGTGCAGTCGAACCACCCATAAATGGAGAAGAATAAAGGAACATCAGTGAAGCATACACCATCTACACATGTCCAACCAAAGAAAGATGAGGGTTCACTTATGGTTCAGCAGGAATAGGCAGAAACTGGAGATAGTCAGTTGGGCAACTGGTAGTCTTCAGGCTTAAAGTGGCTTACTAAGCTGGTCCATCCGTATGTTAGTGACCATCTGGTTAATAAGAGGCCTCCATCTATCAGTTACACCCCAACTCCCCAGCAAACATGGCCAAGGGCGAACAATGCTGGAAACTAGAATCTAGCAACATCAGAAGGGTAACCAGTTGTCCACCTCCTAGACCATTTCTGAGAAGGACAGAAAAATGGCCTACACTGACTGGATTTTAATAAACTTGGGCTGTATTCAAATGTTCTAATTTTTGTACATCTGCAGAGAGAGTAGTAGTCGTCCTGTGTAATGGTGAGCAGTGTGTATTCACTATCTTCCACATGTGGATCAGATGTATAAAGAAATGTCACCAACAGGCCGGTGGTGTTTAGCCTCCTGACAGAACATTGCTTCTTTTTTTAAATTGGGATATTTGTTGAATTGAACTTGATGTGGTCAAATGCAAGTGTCTCCATTGGTTTCTATTCCTGAATTTTAACAAGCTTTCCTTCTTAATAGAAGGGTTCTCTCTCTGGCTCTCTCTCTCTCTCTCTCTCGCTCTCTGCCTATCCACACGCGCACACTCACACTCACACACGCTGGACCCCGAAGCATTTAGTTAACAACTCAGCTCTGTTGCTCCATTTCAGAGACATATGTCATCATTAAATTATTCTTCCAGAAAATGTTTTAGAATCACAACGACCAGACACTCTGCCTCATTCTAATGCACAAATGAATAATAAAGGACAAATGCTATCTTCTCCCCTTCCTCCTTGCAAGGATTGGTATTTCCATTCACAAAAGGGCACGGGCAAGAAAAGAGAAATCATAACATTACCTAATCCACAAATGTTGAATGAATATCGATCCTCCTTGTAGAAGCGGAAACAAGCGGTGCTGATTGTGAGAATATAGTACATTGCGGGCAGGGAGGGTAAGGCGGGAGAATAGGCTTGGTCTAAAAAAATGTTATTTATGAATATTCACCTCCTTTTATTCCTCCAAAGTATGGGTTTCTCAAGCGGGGGGGGGGGGGTTTCTTTGTGTTTTTTCCCACTTTTGGGAGTCCATGAGATCTGTTTGGCTTGCTCTAGAAGACTTTTGCTAGCAGAAATTGCCGTCTGACACATTTCAATGTAGGGCAATCTTATGACTTAATTAACTCCACTCTGATCAGTGGAGAGCCTGCACCATTTATTAACCTGGGAGGGCAATGTTTGAAGAGGTGGGGGCCTTAAACCTGCATTCCAGCCTTCCCCAAAGTTGCAGGATTTTAACAACGATGACACCCCTGGAAAAGGAAGGTGACATTTTCTTTTAACCCTTTCATTTTGGACTTTGGAGGATTTCAGAGTGAGAATAAGTAGCAGAAGGACCTCAGGGAGGCAAATCGTTGTCATACCCATCCTTAAAACCTGAAAACAGCCCAATTGTATGCTATCAGTTTTCAACATCAAAATGGCCACTTTTCAGTAATGTAATTTTAGGTTCTTCCCAGCATCAACCACGTCCATTCCCCCCTCCACTTAATTTTGGAGAAAAAAAGTGAAAGAAAATGGTGCCCCTAAGAGATTTTGGCAGCACAATTCTGTCTCTTACATGAACAGGCTGTGAGAGGGCAGAAAATGGGTTGCTGGAGGAGACACGTCCTATCACTAGGTAGACTAGATTATGAAATAGTAAGTGGGGAGAAATTGGGTTCCAGATAATACTGACTATATTAAAATATACCAGGAAATAAAATCAGCACAGGAAGGCTAAAACTACTTTGACTGAGATTGGCTGTATTAACAGAATGCTGTAAGTCTCATTGAGGTCTCTCTCTTCCTCCTTATAGTCCAGTGAATTAGGGAGGCATCTGTCTCAGCCACTTCCAAATGTTATCTGGATATTCTAGACTTTAAAAAAAAATGTTTTCCCCTTTGTCACCTTGACAATGGAGTTTGCATATCTCCATCAAGGTCATCTTCCTTACCCTCAATGCATGCTCTTTGTGGGTTGTTCTCCCCCACTTCAGCTGTACCCTTGCTAAAATGATCCATGTATGGTGAGTCAAGGATAGCACTCCAGAAGTGGGCACATTCAGGAACCTGGATAAGTCCAATGGGAAAAAGTAGGTGGGGAGAAGTTGGGTACCAGATAATATTGACTATATTAAAATATAGCAAGAAATAAAATCAATATTCATCTTCTGGCCAAGACTTCCAGATCAGCTCATAAAAGGAGATGATCTATATTTATCTGCTTATGGGAGCAGAACAGGATCTTTCTAGGATGAAGCAGCCTCCAAACCCAAAGAGTGTCCTGCTGGACTCATCCATCTTCTAACATGGTTGTGGCCAACCTTGGCATTCTCATAAACTCTCCAAAGAAGAAGAGTTTAGAGAGAAATGGAAGGTCCATATGGTCTGTTTCACCATAGATTCCCCAGACGTTGGTTTGTCTTTTCTACATTACCTTGAGGCAAATGTACAGAAGACATGCACCGCTCTTCTCAGGCAGAGATGCTCGGTCTTGCAACAGCCAAAGGCCTACCAGAGCTGC